GAGGTGCATCAGAATATGGTTATGGTGGATCACCTTCTCCAACAGAGAAGTAGTATTATGTTAGTATTAAGAACTGTGTTCAAGGGAGGGAGAGACTGACTCAGAGGGGCTTGGCCTCAGCTCATACACTGTGCCCCTTACCCAAGTATGAGCCCTTCATGTCAGATGAAATCTGATGATAGTCCAATGAAGTCCAAAGGACTTCGGAGGTATGAAGGACAGGACATCTGGAGGTACTGAAAACAGGAGGTATGGAGGTATGGAAGACAGGAGGTCCAGAAGGAATAGGGCTACATCAGACTTTGTCTGATGTAGAAGCAAACAGAGGTAGACTATCCTTAGGTAGAGTTGGAGAGACAGGAAGTGAACCAAAGTCCAGAGAGAAGGTAAGTGCCAGAAAGGCAAGACTCCAGCCTAGGAAAGCAATCCCTAGACTTGGGACAGAGACATAGGGGACAAATATGAATGTCTGGATTTCTGGCCTAAGGAATCCATCCCTAGGCCTTATGGAAAAGGACGAGACTCAGATGGGCTTGAAGTCCAGAAGAAGGTTGGGCAAGTCTAAGTTGATATTCAGACTGAGGACTCTACTGGAGTTGTACAGGGGTTATGTCATATCTGCATATCTGGATCTCAGATCCGATCCTTATCTCATCTCCAGATCCGATCCACATCTTATCCCCCCCCACATCTCGTCATCCAATCTGTCCACTCATCCGTGAAGGCGAGGAATTGGATGGGGGGGGGGGGGGGAAACTAAAGATAAGAACTCTTCAGAGCTCTCCTGGATGCAAGTCAAACTCGACCCAAGGGGATTGCCACTGAGAAGGATTCCTCTAAAGAATTGAGGGGAAATGCCAAGAACTAGCTCTCGACAGAGGGCCTGGTGGAGTGCGAGAGTATGGAATTGCGATGATAGGCGCCAAAGTGCGCTGGATTTGCGATAGGTATGTGAAGATGCGCGCTTCGTGGCTAGGCTCTAGACCTCAAGGCGAGCGGTACTGATCTTTTTCTTGGATTGGTGGGAGATGATGGAGACTAATTGATCCCTTTTCCAGTTCAAGTGTGAAAATTGACAAAGGTGGTAGTCAATTCTACTCTCTGCTGCTATCCAGGATACTAGTGGAAGGGAACCCCATAACTCAAATTTACTCAGAGACATGTAATGCCTGTAAGCACATTCCCAGGCTTCAGAAGCGAATAGGTAGTGGTAAATATCGTAAGTGATGTAACTGCAGTAAAAAATAGTGAGGCAATGTGTAATTGCATACCATATGTAACTCTGTGATATGTGTTTGAAGTAAAAATAGATAGAATCATGCACCAATGGACCTTGGAGGACGAGGACAGGACATGCAGATGGTTGGCAACAAGGACGTGAAAGTGTGCTCGTAGCGCATTCGAAGCGTGTGAAAGCACACATCGTCGCAAATACTGCACATGTATTGCACTTATTGGGGGCTTCAGTGCAAAGGCCAAAACGCGAAAATATGCCTATTATACAGCTGTAGAGGATGGGGTCTCTACATCGGTCTGGTCCACAATTCATCCAAATCCACAACCAGTGCTTGTCTCCTTTTGGTAATCCCCTAACTCCGGTATTTTGGTTATCTGTATATCTGTCCTGCTCACCGATCCATTACCTATGCTTCATTTCCATTTCATTATTTGTGATCTGTTTCTACTTACCAATAGACTATCCATATGCTTCATACATAGCCTCAGACCCTGCTGATTGATCATTCCATTAGATACCTACAGTATATAACCTCCTGTAAATCTCTGTAACATCTTAGTTCAAATATCAACTTAGTTCTGCTCATTCCTGTCCTCCGGACCTGAGTATCTCTACTCTCGTCACCCCCTGAGACTTAGGATTTATTCCTATAGTCTATCCATATCTGCCTCTATCTATGACAGTCCACTACCATTAGTTTCTAGTCTGGACTCATCCAGATTAGCCTTACAATACTTATCCTGCATCTGGAAGTCATCTGGATCTGCTATGCTACTCATCCAACCCTCTGGACATGTTAGTCTTGTCTTCCTGAAATAAGGGGCAATACTCGAGTAAGGGGCACAGTGCACGAGCTAAGGCTGAAGCCCTTTGGATCTGTTTAGCCTTGAGTATGACCTTAACAGGTTATATACTAGAGGCTATCTGAGAGGATCAGTAAGCCAAGGAATAAGGCTATGCATGAGCATGCAGAAATACATTAGTAAGTGAGACAGAACATAAGTAAATGAACTCAGAGATGAAACTAGTACAAGGATCAATCAGCAAGATGGAAACAGAGATAACTGAGAACCGGAAAGGTGGAGATGCCTAAATGGGGATAGGCACAGGATCTCGGACGGAGGGTGGGAATAGATCCAGAGATAGTAACAGTTAATATCCGGAGATCTGGGGATCTGGAAGGCAAGGTGGAAACAGGATGGAAATATGTGAGGTGGTGGATGTAGTCCAGAATCTGAGAGGAGGTAAAGTCAGGCTAGTAGTGAAGATTTGGAGGTCCAGAGCACAGGGGTAAATCCATAGTGGAGCTAATTCTGCTGAGGTGTGGAGCATGCAGCAGAAGAGGATCTGGGGATGAGTTGGAGATGGGCTCCAGATGTAGGTCCAGAAGGCATGGGAATATTGTGGGATCTAGGTCTGGCATACGAGATATGACAGTTGGCATTTATTCTCACTGGCATGGATAGCCAAAAAATTAGTCATGAGCTTCAAAATGTCATGCAGTGTCTCATCAGGTACAACATATTCAGGATTGAATGCTTTGCTGGACAAGTAAGTGAATGCTGGGTTGAACAACTGTATTGGTGGTGCAGTCGTATCAGCTGGTTTTTTGTGGGCATATTGACCATCATATATCTTAGTGAGCCTGCCCTGTATATTGCAATATTCTTTGGATTTAGCAGCTACTGATGTGGGGGGATAGCTTAAGTGAAGAGCATTCTTGAACTCTTCATGGGTAATACATTTTGAGTGGTGAGTCAAAAACTGGGTGGTGTAGCCTCACCTTTGTTGAGCTCCACCATATGATTGGTTGGGTCTTCCATACTTCTGCCTCATGCAATGGCAGGATGTCATACCATGACATGAATACATCCATGCTCTACTCCATCCATGAACACTTTGGACAGTTCCATTAACAGCTTCAACTCCATGCTTTCATCCACAATTGTGTTGAGTAAGTGTAGGTCATTCAAATTGATCTTGACCTTTCAAATGATCAGAACATCAGCATCCAATCATAAGCATCAGATCACTCACCTGCCACAGTTCAAGATGGTCAGCATAAACATGGTCAAATTGTTGCTTCTTCTTGTCTTTGATGGCCTCTCTGAGGTCACCAATAGTCTGTGTCTGTGCAATCATTGCCCAGAACATCCTTAGTTCTCTTTCCCTGGCTTGATAATATCCTGAGTTCCATCATCAGTCTGAACAACTGGACAAGGAGTTTGTGAATGAAAGAATTGCCAATGCCACAAAAGGTGTAACAGGCATGAAAAATGACCCAGACTTGGAAATTGTGCACACTCCTGCTTCAGCAACTAACAACATACAGTCTGTTCCTGGTCCCATTGACACCTTCTCCACTATTCTTAGATCTTTGAAGGAGATTGACTCCATTACTAAAGGGCTAGCAGAAATGCGGGTGTTTATCTCTACTTTGTACTTGACTGACCTTTTTTATGCATAGATCCATCCCAATGCAGGGGTGGCATTGAGTCTATTTACTTGCACATCCAATGTGCACTTGTTTCTATAGCTTCACCTTTCATGCTATAATGATGTCAGAGTCAAGAAGACACTGCCAATGGGTGCTGGAAAACAATGATACAAAGTATTCCTGTGTCAAATCCAGCACATGCTCATTTCATATCCACATCACATCCAAATATGATGAGACATTCAAAGTGTCCTGGGTTCAAGACAAGGATAAGAAATGTGATAGACTACAATACAATAACTTACAATAACAATGCAACAGACTACAATACCATATCATACAATAATTACAAATACAAGAGTCAAGGATAAGGATAAGCAAGGCAATCATCTGTCAGATTTCCCCCACCCCCATGCCCATTAAAGCTTAGAAACTCACCACCTGCCCAATAGCTTTCTTGTTGTCTCGGATAAAAATACTATAGCAAATCAAGCAATACAATAACAAGAGTTTATGATACCAAGACAAGCAATACAACAGCATAAAATTAAGCACAATCAAGCAACACCAAGACCATCAAATATCAAAAATCACACAAAATGAACCCAAGTCTGAACAAGGTTTTGACCTAAGCCTATGCATCAGATCAAGCCAGACAATAGCAAAAAATAGCAAAAATCACACAAAATGAACCAAAGTGTGGACAATGTTTTCACCCATCAGATCAAGCAACACAGCAGCAACACAATAGCAAAAATGAAGCAAAGTCAAGCCCAGTCTAAACAAGGGTTTCACCTTCACCTACATGTCAGATCAAGCAAAATCAAGCAAAGTCAAGCACAGTCTGAACAAGGTTTTTACCTCACCCTACACATCAGATCAACCACAATCAAACAACACAATAGCACAAAAATCAAGCAAAGTCAACCTAAGTCTGAATGAGGTTTTCACCTCACCCTGCACCTAAAATCAAGCAACATCAAGCAAAGTTGAAATATGATGTCTTCTTACTTGAGGGTCTTATATAAGTTGAGGTGAAATACAATGACTATCACAATTGTACTTCAATAAGACTAAGGTGCCAGCTCCTCAAGTTCACAGTGTCCTGCATGATTTGGGAATCATGCAGAACATGTATATGACATATCATCCCACATTTCCATAGTCTGTTAGCTTAGTCCTCAGACTACACAAAATGTACTTTGAGTACAGACTCAAGTGCAATATTTCACTTTGCATGCTCCAATCATGCAAAAATATGGTGTGTTGAAGAAAAGTCAAATATGATGAAGAAATCATATATTGTCCTGGTCAAAGTTGATAGTCATACAAAAGCTTAGGTTATTGCCTATCATTTGGCTTATTTACTTTGACTAGAAATAACCAAGGAGAAAAGATAAAAGCCTACCAAAACCCTATCTAAAAAGCCAGTGTTTTGATTTGTTCTGTCTTATGATTTATTCTACTTTATTTTCTTCATATTTTTCTTTCATTTCTTTACCTACTTGATTCTTTGACCTCCCAGAGACTCCACAAAATGTACCTGCAGGGTATGATGTCATGATGATGTCATATAGCTCCACAGAAATTTCTGGAATATTCTGTTGGATACTATGAAGCCATCTATGATGTCATAGTGATGTCATTGGATGCTAGAATGTTCTGCTCCACTTGGCTCCACTTTTGCTCCACTTTGCTCCACAATGAGGTTATTTATGATGCAACTCTGATGTCATTTCTCTTCCAACCTTATTTCTTGGTACTATACAGTTTCTCCCATCTCATGTATTTAAGGAGAGCACTTCTCCACCCATAAGAATAAGAACTTCTTTTATTATTTAAAAGAACACTCCACTTCTTCCACTTTCTCTGACATTGACACTCTTTGTGTTAGCCAGGAAGTGCAGACCAAGTACATTTGGTTTACTTGCTCTGAGATCACTTATTCTTTTCTTGACTGTACCTGTGCTGTCTAGTGTGCATCTGACATATAGTTTCAGAGGACTAGAAGTACCAAGTCAAGCCATATTATCTGTGCCTGCAGATTCCTTTGTTGGATCATCTGCTCTTGTATCATATCATCTTCCTTGGATTAAACCCTTTGTATTTAGGCAGGGAAATCCAATCAGCTTCTACCAAGTTCCCTTTTATAAGTCCTTTAGTATATCAAGGCAGGGGAATATCATTAGCATTATTTGCTACCTAGTTTTGTGCATAGTACGCACCTATTCTTTATTTTCTGTCTAGTCAAGTATAGGACTAGCGAGACTCACCCACAAACTCTATTCTCTATCTAGTCAAACATAGGACTAAAGAGACTTACCTACAGAATCTATTCTATTTGTCTAGTCAAACACAAGACTAGATAAAGTTCTATCTACATACTCTACATTATCTGTCTTGCCAGATAAAGCTAGGCTTGTATTGTAGAACCCCTATTTACAACCAGGTAGAATAAAACCACCAGGCTGTATAGCAGGTAACCTCCCATAAATGCTGCGTTATCTACCACGAAAGAAGAAAAGTTAGTAGACTGCGAACTTGAGGTTGTTGGCAGCATTCAGTCTTATCAAAAGTGTAATTGTGGTGTCATTGCCTTTTGACCACTTTTATATAAGACACCTCAAGTAAGAAGACAATGGTCAACAGACTTTCTACTTCTCAGTTGATAACATGTTGTTCATGGGTGGCCAAAGGGTAATAAATTACTTCTTTGCTAGATCACTTCTTGATAGTAAAGGGAAGTATATATTTTATCAGGTTAACTTAAACCTAGTAGGTAATATGGACCTCTGCTGAATTGAATACGATAGACTGTTGTATAGGCAATCCCTGTAAGATAGTATACAACCAATCTAGACTAGAAATACTATAGTTTTCAAAGGCAATCTTGAGGCCTTCACTTTCTTTGTAATCTCACACTATTGAGACAGAAAGAGGGAAAACTCCTGCACTTCAAATCTTATGAATCTCATGGTTTCACACAAGAAAGAAGAGGGAAAAGCTTATTGATTATGTGAGAATGGAGTCCTTATATACATTTTAGAAACCATCCTTACTAAGCAATGACTCATCACTGGATTGGTAAGAATATGCTTACAAACCAAGTCTTTTGGTGTGCTGAATCAGCTGCTTACTAAGGTACATGAGTAAAATATTACAAAGCATGACAAATCATGATGAGTCATGGAAAAATCCTTACAAATCAGAATATTACCAGTCACATGACATGCTTACAAACATATCTGAGTGGTTCACTGATGTAATCAAGTGGCTGAAACTATAAATACAAGTAAATAAATAAAGGGAAATAGATGACTAAGCTCATGAGTGAGAAATATATCCTCATACACTCTCCTAATCATTTCCTTCTATACTTCTTCTTATATATGTCATGGTATGAACTCTATACCATGCACAACAACAGTTTTGACCTTCACTCACACATCAACCCAGACAAGGATGAGGATAAGCAATACAATAGCAAAAAATAGCAAAGACAAGGATAAGGATAAGCAACACCAGACCATATACTATGACAACCAAGTCAAGTCAAGAATAGCAGACATAATAGACCACCTTACAATACAATACCATATAATACCATACTATAACAATGCAAGACAATACTATACAATACAATCACATACAATAACAATCTAATAGTCAAGGATAAAGATAACAGGGCTTGCCAAAGGTCTGGAACCATCACCAATCCATTCCTGCACTTGGACAACTTTAGGACAGTCATTTATAGTATCAGTCTGAAGCCAAAAAGGTAGGAGGAGAAAGGGGGACCTTGCATATCTCAAGAACACAATTTTTACCAGGAATCCAGCTCAACATTGTATTCAGAGGGATCAATAGCCCCCAGAATGAATATTCCTGGAGTCCTGGCAAGTCATGGGAAGCCTAGAAACATTGATCTTTAAGGGGAGTATCAGGCAAACTCACACCCCACAGTTCATTTGTACCGAAGCAGGGGAGAAAGGCTTTGAGCATTCTAGAGACAATTGACACCCCCTTTGCAGCATTGAAGACCTGTCTTCCAATTGACTGAGGTGGTAAGCAGGACCCAAAACAGTAAGTACCTTATATCTATGTCACACTATGGCTAACACACTACAGATATCATTGATCACCATTTGTTACTGTACAATGGGCATTGTTGACTATACTCTTCATCTCGAGAGCAAGCTTGACAACATATTGAGCAAAAAAACCATTGTAATAGCGACTATACAGTGGCTCAAAAAGTGTCTGAATGTTGATGCATTTCAAGTAATTGGATAATAGCAAGCCAGCACCTGAGTACAATATAAAGGCATAGGGACAAGTCTAAAGGCTTGACATCATAGCTATAATCTGAGATATATATCGTGGGAACTAGACCATATATGGGCAAGATATGGTAATTCTAATCACATGACTCATTTGGACACTTTTTGACTTGATATCCAAATCACAAAATCCAACCATTCACAGATATTATTCTTAATAGAAGTGGTGCAATAATCAATATTTGGTCTTATTTTAATATTATTTATATATATGAACCCACATAACATCATGAACTTTAACATAATCATCATACAGCCCATCTTCTCTGCTCCAAAGGATAATATCCTTATTCTCTGCTCCTCTAGTTTGTCTATGAGGCAAATTGCTTCCAAACTGGTCCCAGCAAGTCTACTATTGCTATAGTTATGCTGGCAAT